CTTTAAGAAAAGTTTGCAAATTAGTAAATTATTTTTAGAGCATGCCTTACAAGAAAATACTATTTCACCCTTTGTATTTCAGAATTTCTTGTTTAATTTCAATGTTACTAGTTGTATCTTTGTATTTATTTGTGAAATGTACTAGCAATTTCTGAGCGGAAATTGTTTCTACACCAATTTATTATTTTTTTTTTTGTAGAATTGATTTCAGTCTTAAATATATACATTTTATTGAGTTTTATTAACAAACAATGGAGAAATTGTAGGCTTGGTTAGAGTGAATTTGTATTAATTTTATTTGGAGTATTTATTAGTGGAAATGGCTTGAATTACTAATACCGAAAACCACCAGGAAACCTGTCAAATAATGGATCTGAGGGTCAGTAACATCCTCTTGTGGTCTGCAGGCATGCCCGGAGACAGGATGTGAGGTATGGAGACCCCTGGAGCCAGTGTCAGGACATGAGAGACGGTAATAAATCACTTTCTGTTCACCTTACCACTTTCCACCTTCAGGTTGTAGATGATATTGGCCAGTCCTGAAAAAAAATGCACACTACTCCCTCTAGTGTACAAAATGGACACTAACACATGCTAAGATGTGTGCACCAGTTCAATATGAAATCAAAATTGATCTTGTTTACATTCTTAATACAAGTTTTTGGTCTTACTGTTAAAATAATAGAACATTCCAAATTAAAAAATAAAAAATAACTTTTCGGGAGCTAAAAGTGTCCATTCGTCTCTACATGTTCAGAGAATGCTGAACTGAAGACAGTTTACGCTGTGGAGACAAACTCAACCTTCCTGGAATGTGTCCCACGTTCACCACAAGCCATGATCAAGTGGATAATTCAGCCAAACCACAGCCAAAGCAGCAAAGAGGTCCGTCCACATCCTGTTTAGAAGATTTAATCACGAAAAACCATGAAATAAGTGGATATACACTTAATTCATCCTCTTCTATTCTAACACAAACCCCTTTCTATCTCTCAGTTGGTTCCAGGTGAAGAAAATCTCATCCACATGCAACGCGGGCTCCTCCTCCAGCACTTAGCATTCGCTAATGCTGGCCTGTACCTCTGCGTAGCCTACGAACACTCATTTTCCCGCACGCTAGCCCGCTACGAGGTCCACGTTATCCCCCAGAACCACATGTCGAGAGTGCAGAACACCCATCCCGGAAATCACGCAACCTCGCCACGGGCCTACAAGGAACTCCATCTAATGGGAGTTAGCGAGCTAACGTCTGATGAGTACTGTGAACATCTTTGGTACCGCGAAAAACGACGACAGCAAAAACTACGCTCGCTAAAGTTGAAGCA